AAGTTTTCTGCTGGTTCTAAAATTCTATAAAATATAACTTGGATCATTGCATTTTGTTTTTCTTTAGTTATAGCAAAGCAAGAGAAATGAGACAGACACTGCCAATTTAGTGAACTCGCTGGACATTTTTCAGGCAGTACAGAAGGGCCTTTTCTTTATGGAGGCCACTTTGAGTCCCACCACACTGAACCACTAGGCTTCAGCATTCATTCCTGCTCTTAATTGTTCATGTAACAGTCCCTTCAGTGTAGTTGGTTGGTTGGTGGATATAATTATCTGAGAAGATTGTTTCAGACTTTTATCTCAGAGGAAGGGGAGACAGGCCTAGGGATAGAATCATGAGAAGACTCCACTTGCAGCTGCTGTACTTGGAATGGGTAGGGTGAGATGCAGGCTACGGAGACAATCCGTAGGACTAGGCTTAGGTATGAACTTCAGTCCTCCATCAATTTATTTAATATTCAAAATAAAATTTTTGTATGGGTATTACAATATTCAGGAAAAGGAATTATCTCAACATTCTATTTTTGTTGATTGATATGTAGAAATACAGAAAAACACATATTGCTTAACAATACAAATAATTTGCACCTGAAATTCATTTGCTTAGTCCCTTGGAGCCCTCCAGAACAAAATGTTTGTAACAAATACAGCTGTGCTGGCGATATTATTGCATTAGAGAAAACAAAAACTTGGTCTCTGGTCCAAGGAGCTTATGGTCCAAAGGAAGTCAGAGAGGAGTCTTGAGAAACCTGGCTTCTGGTTTGGGTTTGCTTTTTTCCAAATGTGCCCTGCACTTTTCTGATGGTCTGGCTTTGTTCTTGCTGATTTTTTTTTAAGCTGGACTGCCCATTCTCTTCACCAGCCATCAAAAACCTACCCAGGCTTCAAGACCCGACGTAAATGTCACCTAGTCTGTAAAGCTTTCCTTTCTCCCACCCTCCCCCAGTCAGATGTCTTTCCCACCCTCCTCTGTGCTCCTGCAGTCCTTTTGTTTGCTCTTGATTACACTACCAAAATCCACTTAGAGTGGTGTCTATGATTTAAGGGTCAGGACCCTGCTTTACGCATCAAACTATCTCTCCAAGCACTTAAAGGATGACAAAAAAAAGTCTGGAAACAGAGTAAAATATATATTTATATAATGTTAGTTATATTTTTAAATAATATGTCGAATATATTTTCCTTCAGTCTCCAGACAACTTCGGAAGTAAAATGTCTTCAAATTTAAAGCCATGAGTGCAATCACTAATCTGGAAAAAAATTAAAAATCAATGAAAAATTTTCCCTATGTTTCCAGGCTTTTTGAACATCTTTAACATGATACCTTCTCCAAATTGTTGAATCATACTGGGGCTGTCTAATCTTGGCACTTTCTTTTTCTTATCTGTAAAATGGAAATGCTATCTGCCCTATCTCTTTCACAGGGTTATCACAAGGGTAAATGAGAAAACGGCTACGCAACAGGGAAAAGCAGCATGAAAATGCAAAATGTTGTTCTCATTAACCATACAAGGATTTACTTTGCATCCATATTGCAGCACTCGAGTATGCGGACTTTGGCTAACCCCACCACAGCTGCATTACAGAGGATTCTCCGTGAGCTGCTTAAGAGGGGAAGCCAAGGGGCTCATTACAGCTTAGGGCCCTGCCACAGCCATCAAAAGTTACCAAAGGGATGCTGGGACTTCAAGTTTGTTTCCAATTGCGCAGGAGGAAAGTCATGGCCTCAGCCACCTGCTTCCTGTCTCCACCATGACTCACACCTTTCAGGTCCACTTGGATGGAAGTTCAGATGAGATCTGCTTAGGCCCACTGCCCAAGGACCTTGATGGTGCTAAAGCTCAGGTAGCTGTGTGAAAGAAGGAGCAAGAAGCTGAGACCTGAACCCCAGGGGGACGGAGGAAGGTCACAAGACACTTTTTAGCTTATTCAGAAAAACCAGTTCACCCTCCATCATTGGTGGTGTGAGCATGAGGCCATTGCCTCCTGATAGGATTTACTGAGAGAGATGCAACATCACTTTTATGACATTTCTGCCCCAAATGCATAATCTGAATTTAATCACAAGGAAACATCAGACAAACCTAAAGTTGAAGGACATTCTACCAAAAAACTGGCCTGTACTCTTCATTTCTACAATATGCTATCCTAAAAGATAAAAAAAGACTCAAGAATTTTTCTAGATTAAAGAAGACTAAAGAGACATGATAACTGAAGGTAATGTGTGATCTTGGATTAGACCCTGGACCAGAAAAAGAACGTTATTGGGCGGCCAGCCCCGCGGCATAGCGGTTAAGTGCACGTGCTCTGCTGCTGGCGGCCTGGGTTTGGATCCCAGGCGAGCACCAATGCACCACTTGTCAGGCCATGCTGTGGCGGCATCCCACATAAAAAGGAGGAAGATGGGCACGGATGTTAGCTCAGGGCCAGTCTTCCTCAGCAAAAAGAGGAGGATTGGCATGGATGTTAGCTCAGGGCTGATCTTCCTCACACACAAAAAAAACCCGTTACTGGGACAATTGATAAAATTTAAATATGGACTCTAGAGTATGTAATAGTATTGCATCAGTGCAAATTTCCTGATTTTGATAATTGTAGTATGGTTATGAAAGAAAATGTCCTTATTCTTAGGAGATATATAGTGAAGTATTTAGAGGTAAAGGGGCAGGATGTCTGTGACAATCTCAAATGGTTAAAAAAAATAGAAAAAATGTATATGTGTGTGTAGAGAGAGAAAGAGAACACAAAAAATCAGTAGGTCAAAGTATAAACAACTGGTGAATCTGTGTAAAGAGTATACAGAAGTTCTTAGTATTATTCCTGCAACTCTTGTAAATTTGAAATGATATTAAAGTGAAAAGTTAAAAAAAAGTGAGAATTATACAAAATCTAAATTTTTTTAAAGTTTTCTCTAGAAAATTATATAATTTATTACCTAATGTTTGTTTGCTTAACTGTCATAAAAAGTAATTTTAAAAATAAAATAATATATTGAAAATTTCACAGTTAAGAAAACAGTGAGGCTCTAAGACAATGATGCCACCTGTTGCTTATTCTAGTCCTTCAATGGTTAAATTAGTGTTTAGAATTGAGTCCCCGCCCCAAAAAAAAACACCCCACAAACAAATAGGCTGCAAACCCAACCAGGAGAAAGGGTTTAACAATGCCAGCACTCACCTCAATGGGCTTATGGATGATGGGTCCTCAGCCTAAATGAACTGAATATGTCAGTGGAAAAGCTAAATGACTCAAGTGTGCAGACCAAATGCCCAAGCTTCCCCCAGCCCTTTGGGGAAGGTACTGATGGAAAGTGGTGGGGTAGATCACACTTTTCAGAAGGAAAGTAAAGGCAGACATGCATAGGGCAAAGACACAGTAAGAAGCAATGTAGCAGAGGAGGGTCTATGTGGAGAGTGGAACAACAAAAGTAGGCTACTCCCCATCCTGGAATGTCCACATTAACAAGCTTTGCTGCTCAGAAGAATAACTGAAAGCTGACTGCAAAAGCAATTTTCATCCATCTCATAATCTCTGGGTGATGCTGGCTACACAGACAATTCAGGAGATCCTCCTTTGGGGAAACCAAATAGCTCAGCAGGACAATTAGAAGGTTCTGGTCAGGCAGGGTCAATACCAGAAGTTAAAGGGGTCATTAAAGAAATGAAACAGGCATTAGGAATGATGGAGGAGGTAATGGTCAGATTAACCAGGAAATTGAAGTCCTGATGTAGAGAAAAGGAAATGAAAATGGATGTTAGGCAGTGGTGCGCTGTTAAATGTTTAACAACTGACTTCCTGTGGGAAAAAAACCAACCACCTTAATTTGTAGTATTTGCTGATTTCCACAGTGTAAATATTCCTACCATGGCTAAGTTCTAGTTACCAACATGATGTCACTGAACACAGAGTTAGGAAGTGATGTAAAAGCGAGCTAGTGGGAAGTGACAGCAGCATACTGCTAGCAGTAACCTGGGGGCCAGTCCTGTCTGCTACTACCTAGATATGTTACCCTAGTAAGTAACTAAACTTTCTGGATCTCAATTTCTTCATCTGTAAAATATCAACCTCATAAGATTATTGAAAGAGTCAAATGAAACTAATTTATCTCTGTCTAAGATCTCTTCCCGCTCTGATCATCTATGGTTCTGTGATGGAGTTGGCCATATTGGTGGCTTTTTGCCTGTTTTCACCTCACACCAAGTCTTTTGAGCAGGGAGAAGACAAGAGAATCCTAGAGAAAGCTGCTCTAGAGTGTGATAATCAAAGCAGAAACCACATCCACATCGCCTTAGAGATGAGGTTCAAGGCAGTGACTACTCCAGATTTTCTGTATAGGAGAGATTTCTAGGTGGGAATCTGTTTAGAAAGTGGGGCTAGAGAATTTATGCACTTCTAATATTTTAATGGTATATATTTGAGAATGACTTAGAGGTGTAAATGGTGCCCAGGGCCAATGCAATGTATATATGCCCTCTCTTCCTACACTGTACCAGAATCTGCCTTGTAATGAAGAATACATAGTGAAACTAGGGTCTGTTCATATTTTAATGTCCAGCAAATCTAAAGGGAAAAACTCAGTGTTAACTTGTGTTGACTGCTTCCTTTATGTCACTTCTATTGATTGGTGCCTGAGGACATAAGTTGCCCTCAATGCCTTCTGTGCTATGTGTCTGAATTAGAGAGACAAATGCTCAACCCATCCCCTGAGCCATCATTTGGTGACACCATTGCTCAGAATGGGTATTTGGGAACTCTGTACTTCTTCCTTTTGGTTAAATGTAACTGCAAGTAAATGAACCGGGAGTCAGAGGAATAAATAAAAATGACTGGAAACTTGGCCCCTTCTGGGATTCCCAGGGCTTCAAATTAATGATCCAGATGAAGGGAAATTCTGGCCTTGATGTGCTGTTGAAGTAGACGGAAGAGAAAACCCTCACCCAGCCATTCAAAAAAGTCCGAGTGCAAAGGGGTTTAGTAAGGTATAAGAGACATAATACCTTGTGCTTCCGGAGGCTGCCAGGACTGGTGGGCGTAGAGATGGGAGACTGCTTAGACTTGGGGGTAGAGAGCTGGCTGCTTGAGGTTCCATTTGCTAGCCCAAGGCAAGAGAAAAGGAAGGGATAAAAATCAACAGCATACAAAGGAACACGTTATCCTTCCCCTCCAAAGGCACTAAGAACATTCAAACAAAGTACACAGACAACCAAGTGATTTGATGAGTAGAACAAAGGTGAAAAGAAACACATTCCTCAGAAAGGCAAGAACTTCAATCCTCAGTTAATTAGATCCCCGAGCAGTGCAAGGCAGTAATCCTCCCACCCTTTCCCCTGAGTGCTTCCAATTACAGGGGTCTGGTTCTTTTCAAATCTTTCTCATATTCATTCCCAAGTTTGACCCTAACAACATCTCTGGCAGGTAGTCTAGGAACGTACTATTTTGTTTCAATTTTGTAAGTGAGAAAAAAGTGAGGCACAAAGAGGTTATGTGCCTTACCTTAAAGGGGAAGACATATGGGTGATTCAGACTGGGGCACATCTCCTTTTGTGGCAGATGATGCGGCAGGTGCAGGACAGCCCCATTGTCAATCTCTCCCCCTCCTCTCTTTTTCTACTCATCTTTCCCCCAACTCTCTCTTCCCTCCCTCATTCTGGGTGAAAAGAACAGAAGGAAAGAAAGAGAAAGGAGTCTAGACAGGAAGAAGAATGAAAAAGAAAGTGGAGGAGAAACAGAGAGTGAAACATTAAAAAAAGGCTCAAACGGCAAAATGGGCAGAAGAGAGAATCATAAAGGAGAGAGAAAGAGGTCAAGAATGGAGGAGAGGGGAGACAAGAAAGGGTAAGAAATAGAGAAGAGAAGAATGAGGAAGTTTGAATTAGGGAGAAAGACACAGAGACAGAGGAGGGCAGACATTGGTGGCCTGAGTCAGAGTTCACCCCATTTGTTCTAGTCAATAAAATGCTGAAAAGAAGATGGTTTAGTATATAACATCTTCATATTCCATTGTATTTGCAAATTGTTTTATACTCCCTTGCTAATGAGCTTTTAAAATATCTAGTCATGTAAAAAGAAATGTGGTAGATTGAAATGGAACAATTAAACAGCTTTCAAAGTGGATTCACGTTCAGACATCTCATGCTAAAGTTAATTTTTTGTGTATGTGTGAGGAAGATCAGCCCTGAGCTAACCATCTGATGCCAGTCCTCCTCTTTCTTCTGAGGAAGACTGGCCCTGGGCTAACATCCGTGCCCATCTTCCTCTACTTTATATGGGACGCCGCCACAGCATGGCTCGACAAGCAGCGTGTTGGTGCGCACGTGGGGTCCGAACCGGCGAGCCCTGGGCCGCCGCAGAGGAGCACATGCACTTAACCGCTTGAGCCACTGGGCCGGCCCCATAAAGTTAATTTTCTTTTAAATCTAAGGATCTACATTGTTAACCAGAGATATTCTGAAATGTGCTTTAAAACTAAAGCCAAATATCCCAAGGGTGTGGGGTGGGGAGAGGGAAGGAGGGAGGAGGAGAGACAGAAGCAGGAAGGGAAGGCGGGAGGGAAGGAGGGAGAGAGACAGATTGAGAGAGAGAGAATAGAAAATTGAAAAAGTTAAGCAGGAAAATGGCTTGAGAGTGTTGCTGTTAGTCCCACAGGTAAAGGTTGCACTACTATATCATGAACATTTCCTGGGGATATACTTCCTCTGCACCACTTATGGTAATGTTTCTCTAGGTTCTGGAACCTGCATATCAACTGTAGAGCTAGAAGAGTCATCAGTATGGTAGCTGCTGAGTTTATCCAAGTGCAAGTGAGCTGAAAAATGAGCACTTAAGCATCTACTGTCTGGCTTTGCTTGTATATTCACTCATCTCTCATCCACTCACTGAGAGGCCTTTCTCCTTTCTCCCTGTGAGGGCTTCCTGGAAGTCATTCATTCATTTAGCCAATAGTTACAGAGTACTTCCTCTGAGCCAGGCCAAGTATTAGACACCGGGGTTTCAGAGATGCGTAAGTCACTTCCTGCGGGGAGGCAGGCAAGAATAAAGGGGGCTAAGTGCTATGTCAGAGCCATGCAAGGGACATTATTAGAGCCCACATACAGGCTTTGAAATCAGGGGACTGGGAGGTAAACAAGAGGAGGCAACATCTGAAAAAATCTTGAATGATGACTCTGGAATAAACAAATCTATAGAGACAGAAAGTAGATCAACGGTTGCCAGGGGCTGGCCAGGAGGGGTGGGGGAAGTGTGGGGGGAAATAGTGTCTGCTCATAGGTACAGAGTTTCTTTTAGGAGGATAGAGATGTTCTGGCATTAAATAGTCGTGATTGTTGCACAACTCTGTGGCTAAACTAAAATCCATCGCATTGTACATTTTAAATGAGTGAATTGTTTGCTATGTGAATTGTATCTCAATAAAGCCATCCAAAAAAGATGAATTCAGGGCTGGCCTGGTGGCGTAGTGGTTAAGTTTGTGTGCTCTGCTTTGGTGGCCTGGGGTTCGCAGGTTTGGATCCCGGACGCAGACCTATGCACCGTTCATCAGGCCATGCTGTGGTGGTGTCGCACATACACAATAGAGGAAGACTGGCACAGATGTTAGGTCAGGGCCAATCTTCCTCACCAAAAAAAAAAAAAAAGATAGTGAGGCAGAGAGGGTAGAAAGTGTATTCTAGACTTTAGAATTTCACCAGTAGGGGCAAAGACATGGAGGTATGAAAGAATACAGTATGTTTACAGAAGTGCAAATAGCTCAAAATGGCTCAAGTGTAGGGTACCAGCAATGAGTTCTAAGAGATGAGACTGGAAATGAGGATAAAGGCCAGACCCTGGGGGCCTTTTGTGGGGCATTCTGTGAAGTTTGGGATTGATTTGAGAAAGAAATCTGGGAGGGACACCATCAAATTTGCATTTTAAAACGATTCCTCCAGTTGCTGTGGTGAGACCCAGGGGGTGAGGTGGCTGGGATGGGGATTGTTTAGAAGACAATGCATTAGTACTGGTGAGAGGTGACTATGGCTTAAATTAAAGCAATGGGGAGGGAGAGAAGGAATACGGTGGAAGATAGAGACCTCGAGGCCAGTCAAGCTTAGAGTGTTATGTGCATATACTATGTAAACCACCCAAAGAAGAAGGTGTCCTGTGTCAAACAGTGCAGACTGTGCGAGCTAGGCTTTGCCAATGCACTAAGGCTTTCTGGTGAATAAAGGAGGCACGTTGGAAAAGGCAAGAGTCTGTGAAGCCACAGTGGGGCAAAGTAGTCAATTACTCTGCAGGAAAAGGAAGGAGTTACTGGACCACCTACAGTGCCTGAGGGCCTTCCCAGCAGGACCTGGCCCTAGTATTCAAGATAGAGAGAAATCTTGGAGATCTTTCTTAGCTGACATAATGGAAGTCTTCCAAAAGAGCCCCCACCTCAGCTAGGAAGTCTAACAGATGTAGGCATCCCCAGGTAAGTTCTGGCATTTTGTTCCACATGATTGTTATATCTTTTGGCAACAAGAGATTCTAGTTTCCCAGCATTTGTCAGCCATGCTACAAAAGGGTGGCTACTATATTCCCAATGTAAAAACTCTCTTTTTTACCTACACTCTTATCTAGCTGAGAATGAGCCTACTGGTCTTGCCAAAATGTGGAAAATTGTTAACGACAAGCATGTCTCCACCTATTGGTCATAGATCTGCACATACAGGTTCTTTTATAACTTCCATTTTTTCCCTCATTATCCTCTGGAACTCTCTCACTCAAAAACTTTAGGGGTAATACATGAAGACATATTCCATCTACACCTCTCTATAGATTCTCTGCATATGTATGTGTATATATGTTCCCCTGCCACTCCCCCAGCTAATCAATCTTAAGCTCTCTGTAAATAGCGGACTTATTTTGCCATCCACACTCAACAAGCATTTTGGAAATCTGTTTTTAATAATTTAACTGCCACTCACTGCAGACAGTTGAAAAATGCAAACACTTTCCCCGACTTCCCTGATGCAATGAAAACCAAATATGGACATACAGAAATGAGAAAATGTAGACATGCACAGGCAAACGTCGATTCCTTACAAGCTGACGGAGCTCCTGCATTTATAGGCTAGATAAAAATATACTCATATATGCATTTCTTCTATGGGTTCTGTGTGAAAAAAACTGGAAGGGTGCCATTTGATAAGGATTTTGAAGCCAATTCATAAATGTCAAGTAAAAGAAGTAGCAGGAAAAAAATGTAAATAGGGTCTGATGAACTCTGCATGGTCTTGGATTGGCAAATCCACATGGAAGCCTGTCATAGTTCATTTTGAGAGTAGCTGGAAATAACACAACTGTTTGGTATCCCTCATTTTCCTTTAATTCTTCTTTACTAACCATCCTTGAGCTCTTGTCTCTGAGCTTCCATTTCTCAGCTGCAATTTGGGAATGCATGAGTAGCGGGTCTGCTCCCTCTTTTACTTGTCTCTCTTGCTCATTTCCCTCCATAGAACCACAGCACTGTCTCACTGTTCTCACCTTTCATTTACACATAGTCCAAATCCTTTCATTCCTTTCTTCTCATTGTATAGTTCATTTTTCCCCCTCTATAACAAGGTGCATCAGGAACTTTTCAATCTCCTAAGCGATCTTATCAATCAAAACAGGATAATAATTAGTGTGTATTGAGTGCCTATGATAGGCCAAGGCACTCTTCTCTCTCTCTCTCTCTCTCTCTCTCTCCTTTTCCCATTCTCTCTGTCTCTGTCTCCCCCCCCACACACACACACGCAGAGTCTCATTTAGTTGTAGTCTTAGTTCTGATAGGGAAACAGAGGCTTGCTCCAGTTAGGGGTAGCAAAGTCAATATTTGAACATAAATCTCTCTGATTCCAAAGCCTGTGTGGTTTTTTTTGTTTGTTTTCAGTTTTTGCTACATTGCCCCTTCTTTTTTAAATGAATTTTTTCGGGGACCCCTTCCTATGACAACTTTCTGATGGGGGGTAGGAAGGGAAGAGGAAAGTTGTGACAGAGAAAAGAGAAAGGAATAGGAGAAGGTAGGAATAGGAGAAGGTAGAAGCAGACACCAAAGCTACTCATCTCCTGGGCTTTTATTCTACTTGATCTAGTTTA